CAGGGTCAGTACCATATCACTGTGGACCCATCTGTACCCCCAGTTGTCCATGTAAAAGACGCGTGCCATTGAGTTCGTGCAATGACATAAAAGAAGAGCTAGACGATATGGAGTCCCGAGGGATTATTACTAAGATAAATGAAGGCGAGCCGACGGCGTGGGTGAACAGTCTGGTGTACTGCAGGAAACCGAGTGGTAAACTGAAAATATGTCTAGATCCCAAAGACCTAAACAAGGCCATTTCCAGAGAGCATCACGTGATCCCTACTCTGGAAGAAATTCTCCCAAAGCTAAGTGGTGCCAAGTACTTCTCTATTGTTGACGCAAAATGTGGTTATTGGAACGTTGTGCTAGACCAGGAATCAAGCTATATAACCACTTTCAATTTGCCATTTGGCCGCTACAGATTTCTGCTCGTGCCATTTGGTCCTACACCCGCTTTCAGTGTTATGTGCATAGGCGACATCTTTCAACCATCTTTCAACATGCCATCTTTTGACATGCCATCTTTTGGCATGCTATGAAAGACTGTTAAACTGTGAAACTGGTAGTTTTTCTGGTTATTAGCGGAGGAAGTGACAAGTAAATGATAATTACCTACAGTACCTCAAATGGCTGAAGAAGATTTTGGGCTTTGCATGCTTCCCTATTTTTGGGATGATTCAAGCGATTTAGTGTAGTTGATCGGTTCTCAGTGGTGACTTCCAGTAGAATTGGGCCGCTGCCGCTTTTAATATGCGCATGGTGTAAACATTCAAAACAGTCAACATATTTCTGCCAGAATGACTTCTTGATACTCCTAACCTTAATTTTATGTCAAATAAATCAATCTTTCATCATTACAATTCGAGTTCGACCATAAAGAAGTCCGTTGTGCTTACATTTTTTAAGTAGGCCAGGTTACATAGCAGGTCGAAAGATGGCATGTCGAAAGATGTGGCCTATGCACGTAACACTGAAAGCGGGTGTAAGATGTCGCAGGACGTATTCCAAGCAAAGATAGACCAGACCTTTGAAGGTTGCGAGGGCACCATTGGGATCGCTGATGACATTGTCATTTTCAGAAAGTCAGAACAGGAGCACGATCATCACCTTCACGGTATGCTGGCAAGATCTAGAAAGACTGGTTTGAAGCTTAACCCGGACAAATGCAAGATTAAACAGATGAAGATTAAATTCTATGGTGTCATTTGTGGTGA